CCATCAGCACCACCAACTATTGATCTTGACATCTGATGTAAATCTATCAGAAATAAATGAACAAAATATAACTTAATCAGAGCTAACTTGGTCTTAGAATGGTAGGTTTTAATAAAATTTCTCAAGATGCAACACAAATGTTTCAGAAATGAGTACAGCTATGTTTAACATCAGATATAGCAGATGAGGATAATTATAAATGACACACAAATTAAGTGTTATGTTTGTTTTAGGTGAACCTGGAGATGCTACTAAGGTTGAATCCCATACTCAAACTCATACAGATCGGACTATGGAGATCTAACAAGACATGTTAGCATTGAAATTGAATGAAAATATTGAAAAATGGGTACAAGTACTCAACCAATGGATTTCCCTGTCCCCATCCGTTTCATGTTCATGCATTCTTTAGCTCATGTCCTGAAGATAACACATAAAACAACAAAAGTGGATACTCACGGAATGTAAACAAGTAGCTCAAGATCACCCTCATTGCTCTCCAAGTGTTCCTGTGGCAGAAAGTAGGATCAGATGGGCTTCATATGACTAGTAATTGGAACATAAATTAAAACCAAAATATATGCATGGTAAACCTGAACTGAATCTCAACCAATGATTCAGTAATTCCTTGGCCGAATATGAGGGTTTTTCCTCTTCTACAGCAACTGTATTATCTTGCATCTCTCTGGGAGTTTTTGATTTACTCTTCTTGCCCATCTTATGGATCCAAAAGCTGCATTTCACCCAGATTACATTACTGAGAATTGACAAAAATGTATTTGCAGAGATGCTAGACTCGCCAGGAAAAAAGAAATCTGAAGGAGAAAAAAAAGCCATTCAAGTTTTTGAAAAATCGGGCGCCTATGCAGGCTAGGTGGTTTTTTTTTCTCTAGAGTTGATGCCATTTTGGAGTTAGCATCAAATGGCATTCGTTTTCTCTGTAAATGGCCACAGGACCTTAATTCTTGTTGAGTGGTATAGAATGACATGCTTTATAATTCTTTCCTATTAGATTTCTCCTCTCTTTCTTTCGAAATTGAAATCGGAGTGATAGTTGGTCATTTGATTCTGATGATATTGGTTGAATGCAAGCAACTCCCAAGGTTCACCCTAATTTACGGAAACCAAGGAGTGGCTTAGACCCGATGAACAATGACCTTCCCAGCACCAACCTTGAAGACTCTATATCCTGCTTTGATTTTTCCAAGAATGATTCATGTCTCATATCAGCAACAGGAGGGATGATCTCCATTTTTGACATGATGAAAACGTTTAAGGTAAACCCAACACAAATAGTATTCTTGAAATTTTCTTTTCCCAGCCAAAACTTCCCAAATCTTGTTTGTCAATATGCTTAGGTTCTGTTTGCAAATTTCTCATGATCTAACTCATTGTACTCATACAAATCTGTTGCGTAAAAATGCAGACGACGAAGAAAGTCATGCCACCGCCACTGCGGCAACATGTCTTGCTTTCACCCCCGAGATGACAGTATAGTTGCCATTGGCATGGACAATTCCACCATTGTAATATACAATCTCCACTCAGACGAGGTAGTTTGTTCGTTCTTAAAAAAAAAAAAAAAAAAAAAAAAAAACAAATCAATGTCAATGTTGATGAATCAAACCCGAAAGAGTCATTGCCTTGATTTATATATTTTGCGGGTTACAAGGAAGCTTGAGGGCCACGCCAAAAGGGTCACAATAGCCTTGCCTTCTCGAACACACTGAATGTACTAGTTTCTTCTGGTGCTGATGCACATTGGAAACTACAATATTACTTTCAGACATGGCTTCTACTCTAATGTGACTTCTGTTATTTAACGATCAACGTCGTTTTGGCCCTGCGGATTTATGCGTGGGGTGCTACTGGGTGTGAAAAACACAGAAGCAAATTGTTGCAGATTCCAGATGGGAAGGAGTTGAAATCATTGTCATATACTTACATCCAAATTCACGAGAATGAGCTGCACCTCATTGCCATAAACAAGACTCACCTTGCAGTGTATGAAGTGAGAGAACTAGCATGTGTTTAGGGGGAGGGGAGGCTACCCCATCCCAAGGTCAGGGCATACCAAGGCCTCTTTGAGGAACTATTTGGCTTTTTTAATTCTTCACTTTGGGATTAAAAACACAAGGCGCCCAAGAAGGGATCAGGCCACTCAATGCTTCACCATGATTTTTTTTTTTCATATAAAGATGTAGTCACCGCCCCTTCACAAGTATATGATACTAACCTATACAAATTGTGTATCAATTTTTACTTTGCCTTGCATTGCAAATGCTCAAAAAGAGCCTGCATATTTACCATTGATTTCAAGAAAGATTAAGGTTCTTTTTGAAAATTCTGCAAGCTAAGTATTCTTCAAGTGGTCACACTATCTCTAGGAGGTTTTCCCTTAGGAATGACCGTCCGGTAGTTGTGCATCACAAATGTAAAACAGAGATTAGAGGCCTGCCACCTTTTTGGCTTTGACCGGCAATATTATCATCTCCTGATTCACTTTTATATGTGTTGTTGCATAAGGAACCTGTTGTGTCAAACTTTTCACATGGGCACTTTACCATCCTCGCCGAAACAAAACTGAGCATGGCACATCATTGTGCTGTGGTGTTTTTGTATGCCTTGCAAATTCTCCTTTGCATAGAGAAAACGAACCATCAACGTAACCAGCAAAGGAGATAAAAGATCAAGAGTCCTGAAAATTCCAAGAAATGGATCTCCTTGTAGAAAGGTCCTACTGCTGAAGCTGCAAAATGCATACATCATGTGATTAACTTGCATATCAGATGTAAATATCAAATAATTTGGCATGCAAAGCAAGGCAAAAAGTAAATGAAATCAGCAGAAGACAAGGTCCATGGATGCATCTAACGAAACATTAGCTTATTTGTTTTGGTTGTCAAATGGCTACAGCATTCCTAAGTTATTACATACATTTGGCTCTTTACATATCAGGTCAGTATTAAAATTCCATTACTGATTTCGGTTCATCATCATATCACATTAGTCCCACCAGTTTTAACTCAAAGTTTATTCTCAAGTCTCCACTAAGGTTGCACCAAATTTCAGTTTGTATATTTGTTTATCCAAAAGGATCCCAAATCTGCTTCAAATATTTGTTTTGTAGACAAGTTCATATAATTCCAAATGTATATACTTGTATAAAATACCTATGTAATTTGAATATGAACTGTATGCCATACGACTAATTGCATTGAAAAGCCAATCAAAGGATTTAGTAGAAATAACCAGATTCAAAATTAAATCTTGCTAAACCTCAAACAGTATTTCTTTGGTCTATAGGATTAACTTCTCGTAACCGGCATTAGTAAAGCAGGGAAATTTCTACTCTTATCAAACTCATGAGATCAGAAGTCACATAAACTGACTACCAACACCTCAACTACAGAGGGACCTATTTTCAATTAAGAAAAACCTATATTGCCAAAAGACAAAATTATGAATAAAGACATGCTTAATATTTTATTAACACATCAAAGAATCATTATAAACTCTATCTCTGAGCCTGCATTCTATATGAATAACTAACACTGCCAAAACCATAAAAAACAAACAACATAATGCATTAAGTCACCAAACATACATGCCAGCTAAAAAACAGGAGAAAAAAAAAGAGAGTAAATCTTACTGCTTGTAACTTAGATTTCTCGTCTCTTTCCTTTCAAATTTCTCAAGATGCAACACAAATGTTTCAGAAATGAGTACAGCTATGTTTAACATCAGATATAGCATATGAGCACAAGAACAAAAGATAATTATAAATGACTCACAAATTAAGTGTTATGTTTGTTTTAGGTGAACCTGGAGATGCTACTAAGGTTGAAACTTGAATCCCATACTCAAACTCATACAAATCCGACTATGGAGTTTTTTTTTTTTTTTTTTTTTTTTTTTTTTTTTTTTTTTTTTTTTTTTTTTTTTTTTTTTTTTTTTTTTTTTTTTTTTTTTTTTTTTTTTTTTTTTTTTTTTTTTTTTTTTTTTTTTTTTTTTTTTTTTTTTTTTTTTTTTTTTTTTTTTTTTTTTTTTTTTTTTTTTTTTTTTTTTTTTTTTTTTTTTTTTTTTTTTTTTTTTTTTTTTTTTTTTTTTTTTTTTTTTTTTTTTTTTTTTTTTTTTTTTTTTTTTTTTTTTTTTTTTTTTTTTTTTTTTTTTTTTTTTTTTTTTTTTTTTTTTTTTTTTTTTTTTTTTTTTTTTTTTTTTTTTTTTTTTTTTTTTTTTTTTTTTTTTTTTTTTTTTTTTTTTTTTTTTTTTTTTTTTTTGCGGCCGTAATTCACTTTTTGTTGCCCCCGATGATACTTCTTTACGCAAACCACCAGACTTGCAAGTTCATTTGATTGATAAGCGTTCATCAGAAAATTACAACAGAAATTCTGCGGTGAGATTTTAGAAAGTTGGAACCTGTTCACTTTTTTTAGTTTGTTTCATAGGGATATATGTTGTATGTCAATCATCTTTATGTAGATAATTTAATAATCCATCCTTCCCAATTTTTCCTCTAATAATTTCGTTCTTGAAAAAAATACTGAAAAGAAAAAAGGTTTTTTAAGGGATTACCAGATACCACCAAAATGTGCCCTATTCAACCGACCCTTGAAAGCGTATCTAGTATTTAGATTTAGTTCTTTAATTTCGGTTTCTACGAAGGTCTTCTCTTAGTTGTCTTAGACCTATAATTTATTTTTAAGGTCATTGCTATATTCTGTCTCGCCTGCCTCTTTTTCTTGCAGGTATGCCATGTATGTTTTGTGTGCTGTGTTGGGGGGTAACCTGAAGCACTGTAGAAAATGCCTTCAGTCCTATAATCTCCAATGCCTAGATAAGCCCCATAAGGAAAAGAACCAATTAAAACCGTTCCGACAAGTCTTGATGAGGTTCCTTCCCAAAGGGATGCATATGGGAATAAGTCTAGTGGCAAGAAAGTAGGCTCATCTTCAAATGCTAATGCTGGAGCATTGGTTGATGATAAAAAGATACACAATATGGTCTATGTCGATGATATCCTAGTTACTAGGAATTGCAACACTGCCTGCAGATCTCTTATTTCTCTTCTTAGTGCCAAGTTTCCTGTTAAAGATCTTGGTCCTTTACATTACTTTCTTGGGTTAGAAGTTCATCGATCTGGCAAGGGTATTTTTCTTTCTCAAACCAAATATGCCTGTGATCTCCTCAAGAAAACAGATTTTATTGGCTCCAGCCCCTGTTCTACTCCTCTTGGCTCTTACAAGTTGGATAACTCTGGTGACATTCTTGCTGATGCTACCTTTTATCGCTCTACTGTTGGAGCCCTTCAGTATCTCACTTGGACAAGGCCAGACCTCTCCTATGCAGTTAATCTAGTCTGCCAGCATTTACATCAGCCTCGCTCTAATCATTTGGGTGCTGTCAAACGAATTCTTCGTTATCTCAAGGGCACTCTTGATATGGGTGTTTGGTTTACCAAGGGTTCTCTTGTTCTGAAAATGATGTTTCCTTGTGTTCTTGAAAGATTTTGTAATTATTTTTACATTGCAGAAGCATCCAGTTTCCTTGTTCTGAAATAATATATATTTGCAGAATCTTCACTTCAAAGAGAAAACGGTATATGCACTTGGGAAAACTAAGATAACACCCTGAAATCACAGAAATGCTCATTTTGAAATATGAAGATTTTATTATATATTTAAAAAGTACGAGGATGATAAGGTTGATCTCTCTGTCTGTCTTCTTTAGTGGCTCCAACAGCATTGTAGTTTCTGGTTTTGTACAATGCAACTCTTTTTTCCCAACTCTGTCAGTCACATGATGTTTTGCTAAAACAAGATCAATTGCATGTGACCAAGTCGAAAAAAAGGCAAAATGTTAGGAAGAGTACTTGAGGTTACTAAAAGGGCAGATACAGCCATGGCAGCAACGAGAACCAAAAGAAACTTCTGGGATTTCATTTTCTGATTCTCTCTTCCTTGAGAAACAATATTGGATGCATGGTAGGATTGAAGAACAATGGTGTACTTTATATAGATGTAGCAGGGAAGAAACCTTTGTTTCTAATGCATGAATGAATGGGATCCAATTTTCAAACTCATACCAATTATATCTTTCAAGTTTCTATAGATTTTAGTAACAAATCTAGTCTCCCGATGGTTGGATTTGTTTTTTGTCTTCTATTCTTACAAACAAAACAAAAATCCCACCAAATCAAATACACTGAAGCTTCTAAGAATCAACAACTTAAATTGAGCTCTGAGCGATCTCTACCTCTCTCTCTAACAATTCGTATATATTTAAAGAATTCGAATATATTTAAAGAGTATTGCCGAGCGGCTATACTATTAAAATAAATATAATTAAAGGGTATAGCCGGTGGGCTATACTGTCGAACATTCGAATGTATTCAAACAGTATAGCCGCGCGGCTATACAATTTAAATATTCGATTATATTAAAAGAGTATAGCCTGGCGGCGGTACTATTAAAATATTCGAATGTGTTCAAAGCGTCTAGCCGAGCGGGTATACGATTAAAATATTCCGATATATTCAAAGCGTATAGCCGTGCGGCTATAATATTAAATGAAATAAATTACCTCAAAGATTCATAAACTAGTGGAGGGATCTAGTAGACAGTAGATTGTGAAATTATTCGCATATATTTTTAGCCAACGAGATTATCAGCATACTTTAAAGTGCAAAACAAGTAAGAAACAAGGTGAAGAGTAGTAAGGAAATCCACAAGGAAAAAAGTAGTAACAAGCTCTGCGAGTTCATACTTGAACTGCATCAAGTGGTCCTTTCTGCATTTTGCATCCTTCCTTGAGTTTAAAGCAAAGAGCTCTCATATAACAGATGCTGCACGTGCCCTGGACAAAGCAAAAATGATGCGCTTGGATGAGAAAAGTAGCAACTTCTACTGTACAGAAATTGGTCGAATTGCAAGCCACTTTTATGTTCAAGTGTTGAAACACACTTTAGATTCTAGTTATTGCCGATGTATTAGTGAGAGCCCGCCTATTGAACTGCAGAATGGTATATGCTACAAGAAGGTTTCTTTTTCCTTAGGCTCTCCTATGTGTAATGTATGTATTCGAATGATTATTTAACTGATTGATATTTTTTCTGCCAGTTGTTGACTCACTCAGGCAAGATTAACAAGCAATGGTATTCGTTCATTCTCGAAAGGACACAGCAACAACAGCTTAGAAATTGATATACGTTTATATTACATCTTCTTTTGTATGATTCGTTTCCTTTGGATGATACGTCTTCCTTTGTACGTTTGTATTATAGCCGCAAGGCTCAACTCTATAAACAGAAATTATAAACGTACAGCCGCACGGCTATACATTCTAATTACATTCGAATATTTTAAACGTACAGCCGAACGGCTATACTCTTTAAATATATTCGAACGAACACGAAGCTTGCTCTCGCAGAGGACGGAACTCTCTCTCGCAGTCACTGCTTCGTCCTCCGGGTTCAGCACCGAAAAAAGACCCAACCCGCCTAGGCGCCTGCCTAGCTACTACCCAGCCGCCTAGCGCCCGCCTAGCCACCGCCTAGCGCCCGCCTAGCCGCCTAGCGACCGCCTAGCCGCCTAGCGCCCGCCTGGCGACCGCCTAGCCGCCTAGCGCCCTCCTAGCCACTGCCTAGCCGCCTAGCGCCTGCCTAGCCACCGCCTAGTCACCGCCTAGTAGCCTAGCGCCAGCCTAGCCGCCTAGCTGCCCGCCTAGGCCGACTTTTCGAACACTGCGATTGACTGAAAGTGAAATTGAAAAAATTTAGCTGCAAATTTGAGATTGGGAAGCCGAAGCAGTGAAGCACAAGTCGGGTCCATAGAAGAAGAGATCATGAGACTCTTAATTCATCTAATTCCATTCCTCTCCCTGTTTCGAGCCTTATATTCTTCTCGCTTCGCACTGACGACATGGCGCAGAAGAAAAAAATACAAAATTTGCTGACTTGGTGTCTGTCCTCTGTGGAAGGAAACGATGAAGTTGTCCTATCATGGTGTTTCTGTGGTCTTGCCAATAACAAGGTTCTGTGAATGGCATGCGTTAGGCTACTTGAATTCAAATTGATTCTGAAGTTTAAACATTTCTGTGAATGGCATGCGTTTAGCTTCTCTTGCTTTGCTTATTCTTTAATATGCAAAATGGCATTTTTGCTTGTACCTCACTGCCTGTGTTTTAGGTAGAGAATGTTAGTACTATTTTTGGTTGATGATAATAATGTTGGAGGGAGTTTAGTTTCTCAATTGGTGATGAATTCCGCTATAGTTACTGCTGATTTTGTAAGACAAAAATCATCATCCGCAGCAGCAGCAGCATTTGAAAGAAAAAGCAGCTCTGAATGTGATGGTTGCTCGCCAAGATTGAATACATCAAACTTAGAAGACACTGATTCATTCTCTAGAAATAAGTTAGATAATTAGGTGGTGATTCAGCTTGCGTGAAACAAGTTGACCTCCCCATTGATTACTTTCTGCCGAAGGAATAAAAGAAAAAAGGATATGGATGAGTCTAATATACAAAGGAAATCACTGCCCGTGGAAAATAGCTGCTCATTGATAACCAAATTGAATAATTCTGTTTGTACTAATACCAGTTCTTATGAAGAAACTTCCCCTGAAAACTGCTCAGTAGATCATGAAGCAGATTTGAAGCACTCCAGAGAGGTATGTAATATGAAGCCTATCTTTTGTCAATTTGGAAATAATGTATCTGCCTATGAGCACAAACACAATCATGTGAAATGAGAAATAGAAAATAAGATGCGACATGGGAAATACATTCTCATTTACATGTATTCTATAGTAATATGTATGTATAAAAACAAGGTCAGAATAGAAGGTACATAATTGTTAGTGCTTAGTTGCCCTCGAGTGGCTGACTGACTCCACTATTATGTGCATTCTTAACCTGATACTTCATTTCTGTATATGTAATTTGTAATCACCAATCTAATTTCTTTGCTACGGATCATTGATTTACTTTGTCAATTGAGGTTTACATCTTGGTTTCTGCAAGATCCTGTAGAAAGTGCAACTATTGATTTAGTGGAATTCATGCTCTGATAAAATACGAGGGAACTAAATATCGTATTCTGCCCATTTTTTTGTCTATTCTTATAATCCTATTAGGCAATCTGAACTTTTCTTGTTTGTGTACATTGCAAAGGTTGAATGTCTATTTTTCCTTTGTAGGACCTATGTGTTTATTCTTTTTGTAATGCTGTTGTTTTGTTACATTTCTACAGGGTAGAGGGGGTGAGGAGCTGTCAGCTGAACTCTCGGTTGCTCTTCAACGTTGTCTCTTGGGCGGTAAAAGTGGATCTGGTCTGTATTCTTATTGAAGAGCTTAGCATAATAAATTTGTTGTGACATTTATGTATTATCTCTTTTGGCAATACATATTTCTCAGTTGTACATGCATTTTCATATAACTGCAAAGTCGATAATATATATAGATGTCTTTGTTTGTCCCAGGTGCTGGAATTGATCTCTCCTCTCTGGTAGTTGTGGAAGGAAAGATCTGTTGGGATCTTTACATCAACGGCCTTGTTGTTAGTTCAGATGGGAATCTGCTAGATGCCCTAGGTACTGCTATAAAGGTATTTGATAATTCTTATTTGTTTGACATGCTTAATTAATTTCTGTTCTGCAAGAGTTTTCTGGCTGTTGGTAAAGTTTAGTATTATGTGGCCAAAGAAAAGTCCAGTGGCATGACTTATCTTTTAAAGAAACTGATGTTCCCAAAGGCTGCTTTGAGCAATACAGGCATCCCAAAAGTAAATGTTGCAGCTGGTGCATCAGGTGATGAGCAACCAGAGGTTGACGTAAGCGATGAGGAATTTCTGCAATTTGACACATCTAGGGTCCCTTTTTTTTTTTTTTTTTTTTTTTTTTTTTTTTTTTTTTTTTTTTTTTTTTTTTTTTTTTTTTTTTTTTTTTTTTTTTTTTTTTTTTTTTTTTTTTTTTTTTTTTTTTTTTTTTTTTTTTTTTTTTTTTTTTTTTTTTTTTTTTTTTTTTTTTTTTTTTTTTTTTTTTTTTTTAAAAAGGGGGGGTTTTTTTTTTAAAAAAAAAAAAAAAAAAAAAAAAAAACCTTAAAAAAAAAAAAAAAAAAGGGGGGGGGGGGGGGGGAAAAAAGGGGGGGGGGGGGGGGGGGGGGGGGGGGGGGGGGGGGGGGGGGGGGGGGGGGGGGGGGGGGGGGGGGGGGGGTTTTTTTTTTTTTTTAATTCCAACAAAAAATTTTTTTATGTAATAGTTACATTAACAAAGGTGACATGATTTAACCATCTCTTCTGTCCTTCTGCAAGCTGCAAATGTTTATTGCCTTGTATTGATTCCTTCCCATCTGTTTCTCAGGTAGGCAGGCACTATATTGTAGATGCCACTTCAGAAGAGGAATCACAAATGTGCTTGGCTGTTTTCTATTTCCATCAATAGGCAAGGCCGCATTTGTGGGTTGACAAAACGGGGAGGTGCCGGCCTAGATCCAAGCATCATTCTTGACATGATATCTGTGGCAAAAACAGTAAGTGAGCAGCTGATAAACACATTGGATTCTCATATAGCTGCTGCTGAAGCTGGCGAAGAGGAGTCGTGACATATTTAGAACCTCTGATACATTTAAGTAGGTGGGTTCTAGTGGGTCCTAGGTATATGAAAATTGTAATGCTGATAATTTTACTTAAAGCTGATGAGAACGTTTGATTTGTTGTATGCGTATTTGGCACCTTTTAACCAAAATTAGTATGGGTCTATTGCATTGCTGATATTATTTTGCATTGATGCACTAATTAATTCTTCAATTAGACTTACAATCTACCACAGTTATGTCGTATGGAACCATGTTTAAGGGCTTGTTTGAAACAAAGAGAGGATTGTTTACGTGAATTTATCTGGAACAAGCTCAAGTGCATGCCTCAAGAGAAAGGGAGTTAAATTAAGTAAACCAATTAACAAAGGCCTCTTACAACTTGAGCAAAAATCCCTATCCTACAACGCTGCATTTCTCTATAGAATACCAAAGCAATATCAGCTCTATGTCATTGAAGCAATGAGCTCAGATATGCATTGCAAGACTCTACTGTTGGGAAGAATCCATAATCCTTCATCTGACAAAAGGTGTTTGTGGCATTCCTAAATTTCTTCATATGAGCAAAAGTCTTGAAAAGAGAATAAAAAACACGAGGAGAAGAATCACATAAGCGGTACGAAAACAGTATTGCTTCAAACAACTTCGAAGGCAAGTCTGTCGAACCTGAGACAAGAATCTTTCTCAAAATAGACTCTGCAGATTGAATCTCCGATATTTGGTGAGACTGTGGAGAATCATGGAGTGTGTTTCAAGGGTAAGTGAAGTGGGGTTTCGAGCTGCAACCCAATTGAAAAACTCAAGGGAAAGTACATAGACCTACTTAATCTTTTAAGAGTATAGCCGGGCGGCTATACCATTCAAATAGTAGAATGTATTGCAAGAGTATAGCCGCGCGGCGGTACCATTAAAATATCAGAATGTATTCAGGAGTATACATGAAAAGGCGCTATACCATTAAAATATTCGAATGAGTATAGCCGCCTGGCGGTACCATTAAAATATTGGAAGCGTATAGCCGACCGGCTATACCATTAAAATATTAGAATGTATTAAAAGAGTATAGCCGTGCGGCTGTACCATTAAAATTTTCAAATGTATTAAAGAGTATAGCCACGCGGCGATACTATTAAAATATTCCAATATATTAAAATAGTATAGTCGTACGGCTATAATGTTAAACTATTATAATCAAAGAGTATCGCTGTGCGGCTGTACTATTAAATATTCGAATATATTTAATGTGTATAGCCGCACGCTATATATGAAAAGAGATAGCCGTCTGACTATACCATTTAAACAGTATTGGCAGCTTTTGTTTATTCCCCAAAATTTTGGGCTGCAAGCTTCTTTCGCAATCCCACCGACTCTTCCCCGGCATCACATATATGGGCAGAAGCTTGCCTGTCAAATAAAGTTGCCCCTTCCATGATGTCTATATAATCCTGTAAAAGGTACAGCCATTTAGAATTAACAACACTTAATTGCTAAACGACACAATTTTCTGAAACCCTCCTTTGCTTTTTGTTTTTGAGAAGGAACAGAATGATGGGCCTGAGTAAGAATTATGTCCAGCAAAGCAGTATTGTTTCTGATGAATTTTCTTTGGTGTCAACTCATCGGCTGTCTAAGTCATATGCATCATATTTGTGTCAATTATCTAGTGTATGTGTGCCAACTAAGTTGCAGGATGCTTTATCAAATCCAAAATGGGTAGATTCAATGCATGTTGAGATGGAAGCCTTAAATAAGAATGCCACTTGGGAGCTAGTCCCTTTACCAAAAGGAAAAAAAGGCAGTTGGGTGCAGATGGGTGTTTACTCTGAAGCACTAGGCTGATGGTTCCATTGACCGTTACAAGGCAAGGTTGGTAGCGAAAGGTTATACTCAGACTTATGGAGTGGATTACACGGAGACCTTTGCTCTAGTAGCAAAGCTCAATACTGTACGCGTACTTTTGTCCTTGGCTGCTAATCATGATTGGCCTCTGTTACAATTTGATGTCAAAAATGCATTCCTTCATGGTGACCTCAAGGAAGAAATATACATGGACCCTCCGCCAGGTATCCCTGTAACCTCTAAGGAGGGTATGGTGTGCAAACTACAGAAATCCTTATATGGATTAAAGTAGTCTCCAAGAGCTTGGTTTGAGAGGTTTGCTGCATCTATGAGGAAGTCTGGGTATGTACAAAGTAATTCGGATCATACTTTGTTTTTGAAGCGTCGGAAAGGTAAATTGACAGCTTTAATAATTTATGTTGATGATATGATTGTAACTGGAGATGATCAGACAGAAATACAGAGTCTCCAGAAATATCTGGCGTCTGAATTTGAGATGAAATCATTAGGTGACTTGAAGTACTTTCTCGGGATTGAAGTGGCCAGATCTAAGCATGGTATTTTCTTGTCCCAAAGGAAGTATGTTTTGGATTTACTTGCAGAAACTGGAATGTTGGATTGTAAACCAATTGATACTCCTAGTGAACAGAATCACAAGTTGGGGTTATATCCTGATCAAGTTCCTACTAATAATGAGCGCTATCAACGGCTTGTGGGGAAATTAATTTATTTAGCTCATACACGTCCTGACATTGCGTATGCAGTAAGTGTGGTGAGTCAGTTTATGCACGCACCTAGTGAAGATCATATGGCAGCTGTGACGCGTATTTTGAGATATCTCAAAGTAACTCATGGCAAAGGGTTAATGTTTTCCAAGTATGGTCATACAGATGTGGAAGGATACACCGATGCTGATTGGGCAGGTTCGGCTACTTATAGACGTTCTACGTCTGGGTATTTTACGTTTGTTGGTGGTAATCTTGTTACTTGGAGAAGCAAGAAACAAAAGGTGGTGTCTCGATCTAGTGCTGAGGCCGAGTATCGTGGAATGGCCCATGGTGTATGTGAGTTACTGTGCAATTGCTCATAACCCTGTACAACATGATCGTACAAAGCATGTGGAGGTTGATCGAAATTTCATTAAAGAAAAGTTGGATGCGGAGATTGTTTCCTTCCCATTCATCAGTTCTGAGTATCAGTTAGCAGATGTCCTTACAAATGCTGTTTCTACTAGTATCGTCCACAACTCGCTTGACAAGTTGGGCATGCGTGACGTCTTTGCTCCAACTTGAGAGGGAGTGTTGGCGAGATATCCTAGTCTTATTAGGATATTTCTTTCTTATTCTATTAGAATTTTATTTGTTTCCTTTTTATATAGATATTATGTAATTAGGATTTTTCTTATTTCCTAGTATAACCATACTAGGGTTTGTAACCTTGTATTAATAAATACCTCCTTTCGGAGAATGAAATACATCTGAAATATTCTACCCATATTGTTTAACTCAGTAACCCCTAAAATCACAGAAATACTCATTTTGAAATATGAAGATTTTATTATATATTCGAAGAAATCGAAGCTCATTTAAAAAGTTTTATTAGTGTGGCATAGTTTTATTTTTTCCAATAATTAATCATTTTAATCTTGTCTCTCTGTTTGTCTTCTCTAGCATTGTAGTTTCGGGTTTTGTACAATGCAACTCTTTTCCCAACCCTGTCACATGATGATGGGCTTGAGTAGTGAGAATCCTTGTGTTGTAATGTATCTGTACTTAATTTTATATTGCAGAAGATGTATCCTTGTTCTGAAATTAATAGATTTGTACAATCTTCACATAAAAAAGGAAAAAGGCAGAGAAAATACTGCTCCAAATTGCATGGATAAACCATCACAACATCAAATACTTAGATCAAGTTATGATGATTATGTGTGCACAAATGGGAAAACTAAAATGAACAGACATGCAGTCAACCCTAAGACCACAGAAATGCCCCAGCAAGTCTTCCAACGCAAGCTCATCGGATTTTTTTTTTTTTTTTTTTTTTTTTTTTTTTTTTTTTTTTTTTTTTTTTTTTTTTTTTTTTTTTTTTTTTTTTTTTTTTTTTTTTTTTTTTTTTTTTTTTTTTTTTTTTTTTTTTTTTTTTTTTTTTTCCAAAAAATGGGGGGGAAAAAAAAAAAAAAAAAAAAAAAAAAAAAAAAAAAAAAAAAATAAAAAAAAAAAAAAAAATTTTTTTTTTTTTTTTTTTTTTTTTTTGGAAAAAAAAAAAAAAAAAAAAAAAAAAAAAAAAAAAAAAAAAAAAAAAAAAAAAAAAAAAAAAAAAAAAAAAAAAAAAAAAAAAAAAAAAAAAAAAAAAAAAACCCCCCCCCCCCCCAAAAAAAACCTCCCCCCCCTTCTACAGAATATAAGAATTGGATGGTTTAATCTGCAGCTCAAATCACACTAAGTCAGAAGTTTTTTTATTTTTTGAAATTATGTACCTGCACTTGACTTCTTCTTAATCAGCATATCAGTATACTGTAAAGTCAGAAAAAAGTAAGACGTAGAGCATATCAGCAAATAATCAGCAAACTGTATTCTCATTTGGTCAAGCTGGTCTATTTAATAATCTCTATCATATCTTCAGCAAGAAAATTTAAAAAAAAAGTCTGAGTAATGGCAGAAGGCATCTTCTGGTACTCTTTCTCCATATTAAATGAAATTATGACTTTAGTTTACTTTTTAATGAAATAAATTACCTCAAAGATTCATAAACTAGTGGAGGGATCTAGTAGACAGTAGATTGTGAAATTATTCACATACATTTTTAGCCAACGAGATTATCAGCATACTTTCAAGTGCAAAACAAGTAAGAAACAAGGTGAAGAGTAGTAAGGAAATCCACAAGGAAAAAAATAGTAACAAGCTCTGCGAGTTCATACTTGAACTGCATCAAGTGGCATCAGAGCGTCCTTTCTGCATATTGCATCCTTCCTTGAGTTTAAAGCAAAGAGCTCTCACATAGCAGATGCTGCACGTGCCCTGGACAAAGCAAAAATGATGCGCTTTGATGAGAAAAGTAGCAACTTCTATTGTACAGAAATTGGTCGAACTGCAAGCCACTTTTATATTCAATGCTCAAGTGTTGAAACATATAAATACACTTTAGAAGCCTATTAAATACATTTTAGATTCTAGTTATTGCCGATGTATTAGTGAGAGCCCGCCTATTGAACTGCAGAATGGTATATGCTACAGGAAGGTTTCTTTTTCCTTAGGCTCTCCTTTGTGTAATGTATGTATTCGAATGATTATTTAACTGATTGATATTTTTTCTGCCAGTTGTTGACTCACTCAGGCAAGATTAACATGCAATGGTATTCGTTCATTCTCGAAAGGACACAGCAACTACAGCTTAGAAATTGATATACGTTTATATTCCATCTTCTTTTGTATGATTCGTTTCCTTTGGACGATACGTCTTCTTTTGTATGATACGTTTCCATTATAGCCGCAAGGCTCAACTCTATAAACAGAAATTATAAACGTACAGCCGGACGGCTATACGTTCTAATTACATTCGAATATTTTAAACGTACAGCCGAACGGCTATACTCTTTAAATATATTTGAACGACCACGAAGCTTGCACTCGCAGAGGACGGAACTCTCTCTCGCAGTCACTGCTTCGTCCTCCGGGTTCAGCACCGAAAAAAGACCCAACCCGCCTAGGCGCCCGCCTAGCTACTACCTAGCCGCCTAGCGCCCGCCTAGCCACCGCCTAGCCGCCTAGCCACCGCCTAGCGCCCGCCTAGCCGCCTAGCGCCCGCCTGGCGACCGCCTAGCCGCCTAGCGCCCGCCTACCGCCTAGCCGCCTAGCGCCCTCCTAGCGCCTGCCTAGCCACCGCCTAGTCACCGCCTAGTAGCCTAGCCCAGCCTAGCCGCCTAGCTGCCCGCCTAGGCCGACTTTTCGAACACTGCGATTGACTGAAAGTCTGAAACCCGAAATTGAAAAAATTTAGCTGCAAATTTGAGATTGGGAAGCCGAAGCAGTGAAGCACAAGTCAGGTCCATAGAAGAAGAGATCATGAGACTCTTAATTCATCTAATTCCATTCCTCTCCCTGTTTCGCGCCATATATTCTTCTCTCTTCGCACTGACGACATGGCGCAGAAGAAAAAAATACAAAATTTGCTGACTTGGTGTCTGTCCTCTGTGGAAGGAAACGATGAAGTTGTCCTATCATGGAGTTTCTATGGTCTTGCCAATAACAAGGTTCTGTGAATGGCATGCGTTAGGCTACTTGAATTCAAATTGATTCTGAAGTTGAAACATTTCTGTGAATAGCATGCGTTTAGCTTCTCTTGCTTTGCTTATTCTTTAATATGCAAATGGCATTTTTGCTTGTGAATGTTAGTACTATTTTTGGTTGATGATAATAATGTTGGAGGGAGGTTAGTTTCTCAATTGGTGATGAATTCCGCCATAGTTACTGCTGATTTTGTAAGATAAAAATCATCATCCGCAGCATTTGAAAGAAAAGCAGCTCTGAATGTGATGGTAGCTCGCCAAGATTGAATACATCAAACTTAGAAGACACTGATTCATTCTCTAGAAATAAGTTAGATAATTAGGTGGTGATTCAGCTTGCGTGAAACAAGTTGACCTCCCCATTGATTACTTTCTGCCGAAGGAATAAAAGAAAAAAGGATATGGATGAGTCTAATATACAAAGGAAATCACTGCCCGTGGAAAATAGCTGCTCATTGATAACCAAATTGAATAATTCTGTTTGTACTAATACCAGTTCTTATGAAGAAACTTCCCCTGAAAACTGCTCAGTAGATCATGAAGCAGATTTGAAGCACTCCAGAGAGGTATGTAATATGAAGCCTATCTTTTGTCAATTTGGAAATAATGTATCTGCCTATGTGCACAAACACAATCATGTGAAATGAGAAATAGAAAATAAGATGCGACATTGGGAAATACATTCTCATTTACATGTATTCTATAGTAATATGTATGTATAAAAACAAGGTCAGAATAGAAGGTACATAATTGTTAGTGCTTAGTTGGCCCTCGAGTGGCTGACTGACTCCACTATTATGTGCATTCTTAACCTGATACTTCATTTCTGTATATGTAATTTGTAATCACCAATCTAATTTCTTTGCTACGGATCATTGATTTACTTTGTCAATTGAGGTTTACATCTTGGTTTCTGCAAGATCCTGTAGAAAGTGCAACTATTGATTTAGTGGAATTCATGCTCTGATAAAATACGAGGGAACTAAATATCGTATTCTGCCCATTTTTTTGTCTATTCTTATAATCCTATTAGGCAATCTGAACTTTTCTTGTTTGTGTACATTGCAAAGGTTGAATGTCTATTTTTCCTTTGTAGGACCTATGTGTTTATTCTTTTTGTAATGCTGTTGTTTTGTTACATTTCTACAGGGTAGAGGGGGTGAGGAGCTGTCAGCTGAACTCTCGGTTGCTCTTCAACGTTGTCTCTTGGGCGGTAAAAGTGGATCTGGTCTGTATTCTTATTGAAGAGCTTAGCATAATAAATTTGTTGTGACATTTATGTATTATCTCTTTTGGCAATACATATTTCTCAGTTGTACATGCATTTTCATATAACTGCAAAGTCGATAATATATATAGATGTCTTTGTTTGTCCCAGGTACTGGAATTGATCTCTCCTCTCTGGTAGTTGTGGAAGGAAAGATCTGTTGGGATCTTTACATCAACGGCCTTGTTGTTAGTTCAGATGGGAATCTGCTAGATGCCCTAGGTACTGCTATAAAGGTATTTGATAATTCTTATTTGTTTGACATGCTTAATTAATCTCTGTTCTGCAAGAGTTTTCTGGCTGTTGGTAAAGTTTAGTATTATGTGGCCAAAGAAAAGTCCAGTGGCATGACTTATCTTTTAAAGAAACTGATGTTCCCAAAGGCTGCTTTGAGCAATACAGGCATCCCAAAAGTAAATGTTGCAGCTGGTGCGTCAGGCGACGAGCAACCAGAGGTTGACGTAAGCGATGAGGAATTTCTGCAATTTGACACATCTAGGGTCCCTGTCATAGTTACATTAACAAAGGTGACATGATTTAACCATCTCTTCTGTCCTTCTGCAAGCTGCAAATGTTTATTGCTTTGTATTGATTCCTTCCCATCTGTTTCTCAGGTAGTTAGGCACTATATTGTAGATGCCACTTCAGAAGAGGAATCACAAATGTGCTTGGCTGTTTCTATTTCCATCAATAGGCAAGGCCACATTTGTGGGTTGACAAAACGGGGAGGTGCCGGCCTAGATCCAAGCATCATTCTTGACATGATATCTGTGGCAAAAACAGTAAGTGAGCAGCTGATAAACACATTGGATTCTCATATAGCTGCTGCTGAAGCTGGCGAAGAGGAGTCGTGACATATTTAGAACCTCTGATACATTTAAGTAGGTGGGTTCTAGTGGGTCCTAGGTATATGAAAATTGTAATGCTGATAATTTTACTTAAAGCTGATGAGAACGTTTGATTTGTTTGTATGCATATTTGGCACCTTTTAACCAAAATTAGTATGGGTCTATTGCATTGCTGATATTATTTTGCATTGATGCACTAATTAATTCTTCAATTAGACTTACAATCTACCACAGTTATGTCGTATGGAACCATGTTTAAGGGCTTGTTTAAAAAAAAGAGAGGATTGTTTACGTGAATTTATCTGGAACAAGCTCAGGTGCATGCCTCAAGAGAAAGGGAGTTAAATTAAGTAAACCAATTAACAAAGGCCTCTTACAACTTGAGCAAAAATCCCTATCCAAAACAATGTAGAACCTTTTCTTTGAAAGGTACAAGGAAAACAATGTACACCTTTACATGTTATTTCCGAATGTTCAGTTCTCTTCCACTATTCCAGAGGATATAATCTTTGCCAGGTCAAAACCTCGAGGGATAAGTCGTCTAGCTTCCATCTCAACGCATAACAATTTTAACATTTTCTCATTTCCGCATCCGTATAGTCCTAGACATAAATCAGATAAGATGCTTGAATCAAGAGCAATGGATCTCTCAAACATTTCTTTCAAGACTTCGACTGCTCCATCAAAATCCCTGTTATTGCAGAAGCTAGATATCAGCATTTTAAAAGTATGCTCATCAGGATGATAACCACTCCTTATCATGCTTTTACATAACCCACCGATAAGTGAGTTAAAAGTAACCACATTCGGGTACAATCCATTCTTCAACATCAAGTTTTTGAATTTCAAAGCCGAACTCAGAAGACCCTTATCGCAGTGTCCTGCAATCAGTGTATTATATGATACAATTATAGGACTAAAACCCATGCTTTCCATCTTCTCAAGGACCTCAACAGCGTTCTCTAACTTTCCCAATTTACAATAAGCAGATATAACCATATTAAGAGTATAAACATTCGGTGAAATCCTACAACGCTGCATTTCTCTATAGAATACCAAAGCAATATCAGCTCTATGTAATTGAAGCAATGAGCTCAGATATGCATTGCAAGACTCTACTGTTGGGAAGAATCCATAATCCTTCATCTGACAAAAGGGGTTTGTGGCATTCCTAAATTTCTTTATATGAGCAAAAGTCTTGAAAAGACAATAAAAAACACGAGGAGAAGAATTACATAAGCGGTACGAATACAGTATTGCTTCAAACAGCTTCGAAGGCAAGTCTATAGAACCTGAGACAAGAATCTTTCTCAAAATACACTCTGTAGATTTGAATCTCCGATATTTGGTGAGACTGTGGAGAATCATGGAGTGTGTTTCAAGGGTAAGTGAAGTGGGGTTTTGAGCTGCAACCCAATTGAAAAACTCAAGGGAAAGAACATAGACCTACTTAATCTTTAAAGAGTATAGCCGGGCGGCTATACCATTAAAATAGTAGAATGTATTGCAAGAGTATAGCCGCACGGCGGTACCATTAAAATATCATAATGTATTCAAGGAGTATAACCAGGCGGCTATACTATTGAAATAGCCGAATGTATTGGACGAGTATCGCCGGCCGGCTATACCATTAAAATATTCGAATGTATTGAAAGAGTATAGCCGCGCGGCTGTACCATTAAAATATTCGAATGTATTGAAAGCGTATAGCCGACCGGCTATACCATTAAAATATTAGAATGTATTAAAAGAGTATAGCCGTGCGGCGGTACCATTAAAATATTTGAATGTATTTAAAGCATATGGCCATTCGAATGTATTGAAATAGTATAGCCGAGCGGCTGTACCATTAAAATGTTCAAATGTATTAAAGAGTATAGCCACGCGGCGATACTATTAAAATATTCCAATATATTAAAAGAGTATAGTCGTACGGCTATAATGTTAAACTATTATAATCAAAGAGTATCGCTGCACGGCTGTACTATTAAATATTCGAATATATTTAACGTGTATAGCCGCACGCTATATAAGAAAAGAGTATAGCCGTCCGACCATACCATTTAAACAGTATTGGCAGCTTTTGTTTATTCCCCAGAATCTTGGGCTGCAAGCTTCTCTCGCAATCCCACCGACTCTTCCCCAGCATCACATATATGGGCAGAAGCTTGCCTGTCAGATAAAGTTGCCCCTTCCATGATGTCTATATAATCCTGTAAAAGGTACAGCCATTTAGAATTAACAACACTTAATTGCTAAACAGCACAATTTTCTGAAACCCTCCTTTGCTTTTTGTTTTTGAGAAGGAACAGAATGATGGGCCTGAGTAAGAATTATGTCCAGCAAAGCAGTCTTGTTTCTGATGAATTTTCTTTGGTTTACCATCATTAGCTGAGAAGAAAATGATGTTTCCTTGTGTTCTTGAAAGATTTTGTAATTATTTTTAGGCTTAAGTGCTACAGTGCCCCCTGTAACATTGGTCAATTTTCACTTTACCCCATCAAAGTTAAAGTGACCCACTTTGCCCCCTTGACCAATGTTTCGTGTTTCACATAACCACTTTCCGTCTACGCCATTCCAAATTCCATTAAACCAATGACGTGGCAGGGGAAGTTTGGTCCGTTCAACTGAGCTGGGATTTTTCCCACCAATCTGAGGGTGTGACGTGTACATTTGGAGCCCACCTCCAACATCTGATATAGCTCCAACGGATTGATTGCAAGCTCATCAGTTTTTTTTTTTTTTTTTTTTTTTTTTTTTTTTTTTTTTTTTTTTTTTTTTTTTTTTTTTTTTTTTTTTTTTTTTTTTTTTTTTTTTTTTTTTTTTTTTTTTTTTTTTTTTTTTTTTTTTTTTTTTTTTTTTTTTTTTTTTTTTTTTTTTTTTTTTTTTTTTTTTTTTTTTTTTTTTTTTTTTTTTTTTTTTTTTTTTTTTTTTTTTTTTTTTTTTTTTTTTTTTTTTTTTTTTTTTTTTTTTTTTTTTTTTTTTTTTTTTTTTTTTTTTTTTTTTTTTTTTTTTTTTTTTTTTTTTTTTTTTTTTTTTTTTTTTTTTTTTTTTTTTTTTTTTTTTTTTTTTTTTTTTTTTTTTTTTTTTTTTTTTTTTTTTTTTTTTTTTTTTTTTTTAAAAGCCCGAAGCAGTGAAGCACAAGTCGGGTCCATAGAAGAAGAGATCCTGAGACTCTTAATTCATCTAATTCCATTCCTCTCCCCGTTTCGAGCCTTATATTCTTCTCGCTTCGCACTGACGACATGGCGCAAAAAAAAATACAAATTTGCTGACTTGGTGTCTGTCCTCTGTGGAAGGAAATGATGAAGTTGTCCTATCATGGTGTTTCTGTGGTCTTGCCAATAACAAGGTTCTGTGAATGGCATGCGTTTAGCTTATCTTGCTTTGCTTATTCTTTAATATGCAAAATGGCATTTTTGCTTGTACCTCACTGCCTGTGTTTAGGTAGAGAATGTTAGTACTATTTTTGGTTGATGATAATAATGTTGGAGGGAGTTTAGTTTCTCAATTGGTGATGAATTCCGCTATAGTTACTGCTGATTTTGTAAGACAAAAATCATCATCCGCAGCAACAGCAGCATTTGAAAGAAAAAGCAGCTCTGAATGTGATGGTTGCTCGCCAAGATTGAATACATCAAACTTAGAAGACACTGATTCATTCTCTAGAAATAAGTTAGATAATTAGGTGGTGATTCAGCTTGCGTGAAACAAGTTGACCTCCCCATTGATTACTTTCTGCCGAAGGAATAAAAGAAAAAAGGATATGGATGAGTCTAATATACAAAGGAAATCACTGCCCGTGGAAAATAGCTGCTCATTGATAACCAAATTGAATAATTCTGTTTGTACTAATACCAGTTCTTATGAAGAAACTTCCCCTGAAAACTGCTCAGTAGATCATGAAGCAGATTTGAAGAACTCCAGAGAGGTATGTAATATGAAGCCTATCTTTTGTCAATTTGGAAATAATGTATCTGCCTATGAGCACAAACACAATCATGTGAAATGAGAAATAGAAAATAAGATGCGACATGGGAAATACATTCTCATTTACATGTATTCTATAGTAATATGTATGTATAAAAACAAGGTCAGAATAGAAGGTACATAATTGTTAGTGCTTAGTTGCCCTCGAGTGGCTGACTGACTCCACTATTATGTGCATTCTTAACCTGATACTTCATTTCTGTATATGTAATTTGTAATCACCAATCTAATTTCTTTGCTACGGATCATTGATTTACTTTGTCAATTGAGGTTTACATCTTGGTTTCTGCAAGATCCTGTAGAAATTGCAACTATTGATTTAGTGGAATTCATGCTCTGATAAAATACGAGGGAACTAAATATCGTATTCTGCCCATTTTTTTGTCTATTCTTATAATCCTATTAGGCAATCTGAACTTTTCTTGTTTGTGTACATTGCAAAGGTTGAATGTCTATTTTTCCTTTGTAGGACCTATGTGTTTATTCTTTTTGTAATGCTGTTGTTTTGTTACATTTCTACAGGGTAGAGGGGGTGAGGAGCTGTCAGGTGAAATCTCGGTTGCTCTTCAACGTTGTCTCTTGGGCGGTAAAAGTGGATCTGGTCTGTATTCTTATTGAAGAGCTTAGCATAATAAATTTGTTGTGACATTTATGTATTATCTCTTTTGGCAATACATATTTCTCAGTTGTACATGCATTTTCATATAACTGCAAAGTCGATAATATATATAGATGTCTTTGTTTGTCCCAGGTGCTGGAATTGATCTCTCCTCTCTGGTAGTTGTGGAAGGAAAAGATCTGTTGGGATCTTTACATCAACGGCCTTTTTGTTAGTTCAGATGGGAATCTGCTAGATGCCCCAGGTACTGCTATAAAGGTATTTGATAATTCTTATTTGTTTGACATGCTTAATTAATTTCTGTTCTGCAAGAGTTTTCTGGCTGTTGGTAAAGTTTAGTATTATGTGGCCAAAGAAAAGTCCAGTGGCATGACTTATCTTTTAAAGAAACTGATGTTCCCAAAGGCTGCTTTGAGCAATACAGGCATCCCAAAAGTAAATGTTGCAGCTGGTGCATCAGGCGATGAGCAACCAGAGGTTGACGTAAGCGATGAGGAATTTCTGCAATTTGACACATCTAGGGTCCCTGTCATAGTTACATTAACAAAGGTGACATGATTTAACCATCTCTTCTGTCCTTCTGCAAGCTGCAAATGTTTATTGCCTTGTATTGATTCCTTCCCATCTGTTTCTCAGGTAGGCAGGCACTATATTGTAGAAGCCACTTCAGAAGAGGAATCACAAATGTGCTTGGCTGTTTCTATTTCCATCAATAGGCAAGGCCGCATTTGTGGGTTGACAAAACGGGGAGGTGCCGGCCTAGATCCAAGCATCATTCTTGACATGATATCTGTGGCAAAAACAGTAAGTGAGCAGCTGATAAACACATTGGATTCTCATATAGCTGCTGCTGAAGCTGGCGAAGAGGAGTCGTGACATATTTAGAACCTCTGATACATTTAAGTAGGTGGGTTCTAGTGGGTCCTAGGTATATGAAAATTGTAATGCTGATAATTTTACTTAAAGCTGATGAGAACGTTTGATTTGTTGTATGCGTATTTGGCACCTTTTAACCAAAATTAGTATGGGTCTATTGCATTGCTGATATTATTTTGCATTGATGCACTAATTAATTCTTCAATTAGACTTACAATCTACCACAGTTATGTCGTATGGAACCATGTTTAAGGGCTTGTTTAAAACAAAGAGAGGATTGTTTACGTGAATTTATCTGGAGCTAACTTAATTCCAAAACATGCAGCTAACTTAATTGCTAAACGGCACAATTTTCTGAAACCCTCCTTTGCTTTTTGTTTTTGAGCAGGAACAGAATGATAGGCCTGAGTAAGAATTATGTCCAGCAAAGCAGTCTTGTTTCTGATGAATTTTCTTTGGCTTACCATCATTAGCTAAGAAGAAAATGATGTAATTATTTTTACATTGCGGAAGTACCCAGTTTCCTTGTTCTGAAATAGAATATATATTTACAGAACCTTCACTTCAAAAGAAAACGGTATATGCACTTAGGAAAACTAAGATAACATGCAGTCATCCGTAAAATCACAGAAATGCTCATTTTGAAATATGAAGATTTTATTATACATTCGAAGAAATCGAAGCTCATTTAAAAAGTACAAGGAAGATGATAAGGTTGCATTATTAGTCTCTCTGTCTGTCTTTTCTGGCATTGTAGTTTCTGGTTTTGTACAATGCAACTCTTTTCCCAACTCTGTCACATGATGATGGGCTTGAGTGAGAATCCTTGTGTTGTAATGTAACTGTACTTAATTTTACATTGCAGAAGATGTATCCTTGTTCTGAAATTAATAGATTTGTACAATCTTCACTTAAAAAAGGAAAAAGGCAGAGAAAATACTGCTCCAAATTGCATGGATAAACCATCACAACATCAAATACTTATATCAAGTGATGATGATTATGCGTGCACAAATTGGAAAACTATTATGAACAGACATGCAGTCACCCCTAAGACCACAGAAATGCCCCAGCAAGTCTTCCAACGCAAGCTCATCGGAGTATAAGAATTGGATGGTTTAATCTGCAGCTCAAATCACACTAAAGTCAGAAGCTTTTTTTATTTTTTGAAATTATGTACCTGCACTTGACTTCTTGTTACAACTCCGTCCAAAGACCAAAAAAGATACTAATATAAGTTATAGGTGGAATTTGAAGATTATGGGTGGTTTATTATGAAAGAACTTACAAGAAGAGGTTTCAGCAGCTCTTGGTCATCTTTAGAGAACGAAAGCTTCACTTCATCTGCACTAATTTAAATAACAAGAAGAGTATACGAATGACGAACCAAATAATTATTGATATAACAAAAGGAGACTGCTGACACATAAAATTAACACAAATTCTGATAAATTAGAGGATTTTTCTTCAGATTGCTTCTTCACAGAATCTAAACATGCTTGAATGCTTCTTGAATGATAAATAGCTTTGACCAAATAGACTTAAATCAACCGTACTGGGGGTATGTCCACTGAAAGCACAGCTGATAGTCATCAAGCTGTTAATCTCTCCTTAGTTGATTTCAATGGAGTTTGGTGAACCTATTCCTCTATTATTATTTCGGATGTATCATAAATTGTTGCTTGATTGTTGCATGTGCTTGTGTTTCATGTGGGTTTTTAAGCTGACCTCAACACAAGGACCGGAGGTGGGTCTTTATTTATTCAGAAAGGTGCCGCACCATAGAAAAGCAAAACTTTGTGTCTCCTCCTCCAGTTGCTATTCTACCTGCCGGAATAGGGAATGATTTGGCTAGAGTTTTCTACTAATCTTCTGCTTGATGATGTCTGGTTTGTAGATAATGCTTTAAAATTGAGAGAGGCAAGTGCATAGGGTTGCAAGACTAAGAAAGAAACTGTGTTTCTTTAGTGCAGCTGCCAACGGCTTTATTTTTAAGCCATCAATATAGTTCTTAAGTCTCTTGAAGAATCGTTCAGCTTTGTAAATTTCCAAGCTCCCTACCAAAGCATCACATCTTTCTCAATGTACTGAAAACACTTGCAATAACAGTTTTTACTGTCCTGGCGGAAGTGGCCCTAATAGACATTATCCAATAATGAAAACAAAGGCATCTGTAGAAGATTTGCTTGACGAGCAAAACAAAAACGATGTAATGTTAAGTAACCTAGTAAGAGGATATCAGAATTTCACATTTCTGATGTCTTGCACATGATAGGAAAAAACATCGTTGTGGACTAGTGAAGAATCATGTGTAGGAGGAGGAGTAGCCAAAACACCTCCTGACGGAAAATAAGCCTCTTCTAGCCGGCAATGACTCGGGTTTATCCAAAGATTTATTGTGAGGAAAGTGCCTATGAAAGGCATTCACTGCTCTTGTCACCCATCTTCGCCATCCATGGCCTTGGCAATTTCAACAGCACACTCTTTAACCTTTCAACCGAAAATAGTTATTTCTTTGTTAATTTAATCTATTCAGGTCCACGCAAGGGATTGAAATAACATAAAATAACCCCAGAGTTGTAACAAGTATTTGCATGTTGAAATTGATCACAAAACAATGTCAACTTCAATTAAATCAGCGCGTACAACCCCTTGACAGAATGGTATAGTACAGCCGCACAACGATACTCTTTGATTATAATAGTTTAACATTATAGCCGTACGACTATACTCTTTTAATATATTGGAATATTTTAATAGTATTGCCGCGTGGCTATACTCTTTAATACATTTGAATATTTTAATGGTACAGCCGCCCGGCTATACTCTTTCAATACATTCGAATCTTTCAATGGTATAGCCGAACGGCTATATGCTTTAAATACATTCGAATATTTTAATGGTACAGCCGGCTATACTCTTTTAATACATTCTAATATTTTAATGGTACAGCCAGGCGGCTGTACTCTTTCAATCCATTCGAATATTTTAATGGTATTGCCGGCCGGCGATACTCGTCCAATACATTCGGCTATTTCAATAGTATAGCCGCCTGGTTATACTCCTTGAATACATTCTGATATTTTTATGGTACAGCCGAGCGGCTATACGCTTGCAATACATTCTACTATTTTAATGCGGGTATACTCTTTAAAGATTAAGCAGGTCTATGTTCTTTCCCTTGAGTTTTTCAATTGGGTTGCAGCTCGAAACCCCACTTCACTTACCCTTGAAACACACTCCATGATTCTCCACAGTCCCACCAAATATCGGAGATTCAAATCTGCAGAGTCTATTTTGAGAAAGATTCTTGTCTCAGGTTCGACAGACTTGCCTTTGAAGTGTTTGAAGCAATACTGTTTTCGTACCGCTTATGTGATTCTTCTCCTCGTGTTTTTTATTCTCTTTTCAAGACTTTTGCTCATATAAAGAAATTTAGGAATGCCACAAACACCTTTTGTCAGATGAAGGATTATGGATTCTTCCCAACAGTAGAGTCTTGTAATGCATATCTGAGCTCATTGCTTCAATTACATAGAGCTGATATTGCTTTGGTATTCTATAGAGAAATGCAGCGTTGTAGGATTTCACCGAATGTTTATACTCTTAATATGGTTATATCTGCTTATTGTAAATTGGGAAAGTTAGAGAACGCTGTTGAGGTCCTTGAGAAGATGGAAAGCATGGGTTTTAGTCCTATAATTGTATCATATAATACACTGATTGCAGGACACTGCGATAAGGGTCTTCTGAGTTCGGCTTTGAAATTCAAAAACTTGATGTTGAAGAATGGATTGTACCCGAATGTGGTTACTTTTAACTCACTTATCGGTGGGTTATGTAAAAGCATGATAAGGAGTGGTTATCATCCTGATGAGCATACTTTTAAAATGCTGATATCTAGCTTCTGCAATAACAGGGATTTTGATGGAGCAGTCGAAGTCTTGAAAGAAATGTTTGAGAGATCCATTGCTCTTGATTCAAGCATCTTATCTGATTTATGTCTAGGACTATACAGATGCGGAAACGAGAAAATGTAAAAATTGTTATGCGTTGAGATGGAAGCTAGACGACTTATCCCTCAAGGTTTTGACCCGGCAAAGATTATATCCTCTGGAGTAGTGGAAGAGAACTGAAAATTCGGAAATAACATGTAAAGGTGTACATTGTTTTCCTTGTACCTTTCAAAGAAAAGGTTCTACATTGTTTTGGATAGGGATTTTTGCTCAAGTTGTAAGAGGCCTTTGTTAATTGGTGTACTTAATTTAACTCCCTTTCTCTTGAGGCATGCACTTGAGCTTGTTCCAGATAAATTCACGTAAACAATCCTCTCTTTGTTTTAAACAAGCCCTTAAACATGGTTCCATACGACATAACTGTGGTAGATTGTAAGTCTAATTGAAGAATTAATTAGTGCATCAATGCAAAATAATATCAGCAATGCAATAGACCCATACTAATTTTGGTTAAAAGGTGCCAAATACGCATACAACAAATCAAACGTTCTCATCAGCTTTAAGTAAAATTATCAGCATTACAATTTTCATATACCTAGGACCCACTAGAACCCACCTACTTAAATGTATCAGAGGTTCTAAATATGTCACGACTCCTCTTCGCCAGCTTCAGCAGCAGCTATATGAGAATCCAATGTGTTTATCAGCTGCTCACTTACTGTTTTTGCCACAGATATCATGTCAAGAATGATGCTTGGATCTAGGCCGGCACCTCCCCGTTTTGTCAACCCACAAATGCGGCCTTGCCTATTGATGGAAATAGAAACAGCCAAGCACATTTGTGATTCCTCTTCTGAAGTGGCATCTACAATATAGTGCCTGCCTACCTGAGAAACAGATGGGAAGGAATCAATACAAGGCAATAAACATTTGCAGCTTGCAGAAGGACAGAAGAGATGGTTAAATCATGTCACCTTTGTTAATGTAACTATGACAGGGACCCTAGATGTGTCAAATTGCAGAAATTCCTCATCGCTTACGTCAACCTCTGGTTGCTCATCGCCTGATGCACCAGCTGCAACATTTACTTTTGGGATGCCTGTATTGCTCAAAGCAGCCTTTGGGAACATCAGTTTCTTTAAAAGATAAGTCATGCCACTGGACTTTTCTTTGGCCACATAATACTAAACTTTACCAACAGCCAGAAAACTCTTGCAGAACAGAAATTAATTAAGCATGTCAAACAAATAAGAATTATCAAATACCTTTATAGCAGTACCTAGGGCATCTAGCAGATTCCCATCTGAACTAACAACAAGGCCGTTGACAAAGTAAATCAATGATCCGTAGCAAAGAAATTAGATTGGTGATTACAAATTACATATACAGAAATGAAGTATCAGGTTAAGAATGCACATAATAGTGGAGTCAGTCAGCCACTCGAGGGCAACTAAGCACTAACAATTATGTACCTTCTATTCTGACCTTGTTTTTATACATACATATTACTATAGAATACATGTAAATGAGAATGTATTTCCCATGTCGCATCTTATTTTCTATTTCTCATTTCACATGATTGTGTTTGTGCTCATAGGCAGATACATTATTTCCAAATTGACAAAAGATAGGCTTCATATTACATACCTCTCTGGAGTTCTTCAAATCTGCTTCATGATCTACTGAGCAGTTTTCAGGGGAAGTTTCTTCATAAGAACTGGTATTAGTACAAACAGAATTATTCAATTTGGTTATCAATGAGCAGCTATTTTCCACGGGCAGTGATTTCCTTTGTATATTAGACTCATCCATATCCTTTTTTCTTTTATTCCTTCGGCAGAAAGTAATCAATGGGGAGGTCAACTTGTTTCACGCAAGCTGAATCACCACCTAATTATCTAACTTATTTCTAGAGAATGAATCAGTGTCTTCTAAGTTTGATGTATTCAATCTTGGCGAGCAACCATCACATTCAGAGCTGCTTTTTCTTTCAAATGCTGCTGTTGCTGCGGATGATGATTTTTGTCTTACAAAATCAGCAGTAACTATAGCGGAATTCATCACCAATTGAGAAACTAAACTCCCTCCAACATTATTATCATCAACCAAAAATAGTACTAACATTCTCTACCTAAAACACAGGCAGTGAGGTACAAGCAAAAATGCCATTTGCATATTAAAGAATAAGCAAAGCAAGAGAAGCTAAACGCATGCCATTCACAGAAATGTTTAAACTTCAGAATCAATTTGAATTCAAGTAGCCTAACGCATGCCATTCACAGAACCTTGTTATTGGCAAGACCACAGAAACACCATGATAGGACAACTTCATCATTTCCTTCCACAGAGGACAGACACCAAGTCAGCAAATTTTGTATTTTTTTTTCTGCGCCATGTCGTCAGTGCGAAGCGAGAAGAATATAAGGCTCGAAACAGGGAGAGGAATGGAATTAGATGAATTAAGAGTCTCATGATCTCTTCTTCTATGGACCGACTTGTGCTTCACTGCTTCGGCTTCCCAATCTCAAATTTGCAGCTATATTTTTTCAATTTCACTTTCAGTCAATCGCAGTGTTCGAAAAGTCGGCCTAGGCGGGCAGCTAGGCGGCTAGGCTGGCGCTAGGTTACTAGGCGGTGACTAGGCGGTGGCTAGGCAGTGGCTAGGAGGGCGCTAGGCGGCTAGGCGGTCGCCAGGCGGGCGCTAGGCGGCTAGGCGGGCGCTAGGCGGTGGCTAGGCGGGCGCTAGGCGTCTGGGTAGTAGCTAGGCGGGCGCCTAGGCGGGTTGGGTCTTTTTTCGGTGCTGAACCCGGAGGACAAAGCAATTCGATCAATTTCTGTACAGTAGAAGTTGCTACTTTTCTCATCAAAGCGCATCATTTTTGCTTTGTCCAGGGCACGTGCGGCATCTGTTATATGAGAGCTCTTTGCTTTAAACTCAAGGAAGGATGCAAAATGCAGAAAGGACGCTCTGATACCACTTGATGCAGTCCAAGTATGAACTCGCAGAGGTTGTTACTATTTTTTCCTTGTGGATTTCCTTACTACTCTTCACCTTGTTTCTTACTTTAAAGTATGCTGATAATCTCGTTGGCTAAAAATATATGCGAATAATTTCACAATCTACTGTCTGCTAGATCCCTCCACTAGTTTATGAATCTTTGAGGTAATTTATTTCATTTAATATTATAGCCGCACGGCTATACGCTTTGAATATATCGGAATATTTTAATCGTATACCCGCTCGGCTAGACGCTTTGAATACATTTAAGTAGGTGGGTTCGTGTGGGTCCTGGGTATATGAAAATGTAATGCTGATAATTTTACTTAAAGCTGATGAGAACGTTTGATTTGTCTTTTAACCAAAATTAGTATGGGTCTATTGCTTTGCTGATATTATTTTGAATTGATGCACTAATTAGACTTGCAATCTACCGCAGTTAAGTGCATTGATGTGCCTATAAAATGTTTGAATGTATTCACAGAGTATAGCCGCACGGCTATACTATTAAAATATTAGAATGTATTGAAAGAGTATCGCCGAGTGGCTATACTATTAAAATATTTAAATGTAATGCAAGGGTATAGCCGCGCGGCGGTACCATTAAAATATTCGAATGTATTATAGAGTATAGCCGGGCGACTATACCATTAAAATATTCCAATATATTTAAAGAGTATAGCCGTACGGCGATAATATTAAACTATTATAATCAAAGCGTATAGCCGAGCGGCCGTACTATTAAATATTCGAATATATTTAACGTGTACAGTCGCACGCTATACCGTTAAATATTCGAATATTTATTTTATTTTATTTTGTTTCGAAAATATTTGAACAGTATTAGCAGCTTTTCTTTATTCCCCAGAATTTTGGGCTGCAAGCTTCTTTCGCAATCCCACCGACTCTTCCCCAGCATCACATATATGGGCAGAAGCTTGCCTGTCAGATAAAGTTGCCCCTTCCATGATGTCTATATAATCTTGTAAAAGGTACAGTCATTTAGAATTAACAACATTTAAACAATAAAGCATTCAATTTTCCAAAACATGCAACTAACTTAATTGCTAAAAGGCATAATTTTCTGAAACCCTCCTTTGCTTTCTGTGTTTGAGCAGGAACAGAATGATAGGCCTGAGTAAATCAGTCTTGTTTGTGATGAATTTTCTTTGATTTACCATTGGCTAAGAAGAACATGAATATTTTGTAATTATTTTTACATTGCGGAAGTATCCAGTTTCCTTGTTCTGAAATAGTATATATATATTTACAGAACCTTCACTTCAAAAAGAAAACGGTATATGCACTTAGGAAAAATAAGATAACATGCAGTCACCCCTAAAATCACAGAAATGCTCATTTTGAAATATGAAGATTTTATTATATATTCGAAGAAATCGGAGCTCATTTAAAAAGTACAAGGAAGATGATAAGGTTGCATTATTAGTCTCTCTGTCTGTCTTCTCTAGCATTGTAGTTTCTGGTTTTGTACAATGCAACTCTTTTCCCAACTCTGTCACATGATGATGGGCTAGAGTGAGAATCCTTGTGTTGTAATGTAACTGTACTTAATTTTACATTGCAGAAGATGTATCCTTGTTCTGAAATTAATAGATTTGTACAATCTTCACTTTAAAAAGGAAAAAGGCAGAGAAAATACTGCTCCAAATTGCATGGATAAACCATCACAACATCAAATACTTAGATCAAGTTATGATGATTATGCGTGCACAAATAGGAAAACTAATATGAACAGACATGCAGTCACCCCTAAGACCACAGAAATGCTCCAGCAAGTCTTCCAACACAAGCTCATCGGAGTATAAGAATTGGATGGTTTAATCTGCAGCTCAAATCACACTAAAGTCAGAAGTTTTTTTTATTTTTGAAATTATGTACCTGCACTTGACTTCTTGTTAATCAGCAAATAATCAGCATATTGTATTCTCATTTGGTCTATTGATATACGTTTATATTCCATCTTCTTTTGTATGATTCGTTTCCTTTGGATGATACGTCTTCTTTTGTATGATACGTTTCCATTATAGCCGCAAGGCTCAACTCTATAAACAGAAATTATAAACGTACAGCCGCACGGCTATACGTTCTAATTACATTCGAATATTTTAAACGTACAGCGCCCGCCTAGCTACTACCTAGCCGCCTAGCCACCGCCTAGCGCCCGCCTAGCGACCGCCTAGCCGCCTAGCGCCCTCCTAGCCACTGCCTAGCCACCGCCTAGTCACCGCCTAGTAGCCTAGCGCCAGCCTAGCCGCCTAGCTGCCCGCCTTGGCCAACTTTTCGAACACTGCGATTGACTGAAAGTCTGAAACCCGAAATTGAAAAATTTAGCTGCAAATTTGAGATTGGGAAGCCGAAGCAGTGAAGCACAAGTCAGGTCCATAGAAGAAGAGATCAAGCCGAAGCAGTTGAAACATTTCTGTGAATGGCATGCGTTTATCTTCTCTTGCTTTGCTTATTCTTTAATATGCAAATGGCATTTATGCTTGTACCTCACTGCCTGTGTTTTAGGTAGAGAATGTTAGTACTATTTTTGTTTGCCGCAGTCCCCGTAATAGTGATTCACTATTTCAGAGTAGTCGAAATCCGTCTTTTGCCCTTCAGCTATCATTGTGTTGCTACTCATAACTATATTAACTATATGCAGGTTTTTCTGTGTTGAAATGAGACTGAACATATAGTGGAATAAATACAAATTTCATGTGAAAAATGCGGTCCAAGTGTTTGGAATTGCAGCAAGATTTCTTTTTGAAATCTTAACATTACAACAGAAATTCTGCGGTGAGATTTTAGAAAGTTGGAACCTGTTCACTTTTTTTAGTTTGTTTCATAGGGATATATGTTGTATGTCAATCATCTTTATGTAGATAATTTAATAATCCATCCTTCCCTATTTTTCCTCTAATAATTTTGTTCTTGAAAAAAATACTGAAAAGAAAAAGGTTTTTTAAGGGATTACCAGATACCACCAGAATGTACCCTATTCAACCGACCCTTGAAAGCGTATCTAGTTGAGATGAGCATTTAGATTTGGTTCTTTCATTTAGGTTTCTATGAAGATCTTCTCTTAGTTGTCTTAGACCTGTAATTTATTTTTAAGGTCATTGCTATATACTGTCTCGCCTGCCTATTTTTCTTGCAGGTATGCCATGTATGTTTTGTGTGCTGTGTTGGGGGTAACCTGAAGCACTGTAGAAAATGCCTTCAGTCCTATAATCTCCAATGCCTAGATAAGCCCCATAAGGGAAAAGAAACACATTGAAGTATCTGGCACAAGACAAATACCAATCGAAACAGTTCCGACAAGTCTTGATGAGGTTCCTTCCCAAAGGGATGCATATGGGAATAAGTCTAGTGGCAAGAAAGTAGGCTCATCTTCAAATGCTAATGCTGGAGCATTGGTTGATGATAAAAAGATACACAATATGGTCTATGTCGATGATATCCTAGTTACTGGGAATTGCAACACTGCCTGCAGATCTCTTATTTCTCTTCTTAGTGCCAAGTTTCCTGTTAAAGATCTTGGTCCTTTACGTTACTTTCTTGGGTTAGAAGTTCATCGATCTGGCAAGGGTATTTTTCTTTCTCAAACCAAATATGCCTGTGATCTCCTCAAGAAAACAGATTTTATTGGCGCCAGCCCCTGTTCTACTCCTCTGGGCTCTTACAAGTTGGATAACTCTGGTGACATTCTTGCTGATGCTACCTTTTATCGCTCTACTGTTGGAGCTCTTTAGTATCTCACTTGGACATGGCCAGACCTCTCCTATGCAGTTAATCTAGTCTGCCAGCATTTACGTCAGCCTCGCTCTAATCATCTGGGTGCTGTCAAACGAATTCTTCGTTATCTCAAGGGCACTCTTGATATGGGTGTTTGGTTTACCAAGGGTTCTCTTAGTTTACACTCTTTCACAGATGCTGATTGGGCAGGGTATCCCATTGATTGGAGGTGTACTAGTGGCTGGTGCATCTATCTTGGTCACCATTTAATCTCTTGGTCCGCTAAGAAACAACCAACCGTCTCTCGCAGTTCCACTGAAGCTGAATATGTGGTATTGCCATGACTGCTGCTGAGCTGATTTATCTTTCCAAATTATTCAAAGACATTGGTTTCCAACTGTCCTCTGTTCCTCTTCTTTGGTGTGATAATCAGTCAGCCATTCATCTTGCTTCTAATCCCGTCTTTAGTGCAAGAACCAAACGTATCGAAGTTGATTATCATTTCACTAGAGAGTTGGTTCAACACGGCTTCTTACAAATTCGGTTTGTTTCCTCTGCAAATCAGCTTGCAGACATTTTCACGAAACCTTTATATACTGCCAGACATGTCTTTCTTCGTGACAAGCTTACAGTGTGCTCTCCCCCTTTCAGCTTGAGGGAGGCTAAAGACAGTAACTAGTTATTAATCTGTTATATTAGTTATATTTTCTGTTTACTAATATATTCTCATCTGTAATTAGTTATGACAGCTCAGCATAGTTGCTGTGTATAAAGGCCTTTGTAACAGTTTATTCAATAATGAGAATCACACTTCCTTTACCTTTTGTATCTAATGCATGAATAAGATCCAACTTTTAAACTTATACCAACTATATCTTTCAGGAGTCATGAAAATTTTCCTATAAATTTTAAAAAGAAAAAAATTTCCCACCAAAGCAGATACATGGACACTGGAGATGATTGTGGTCCTGCGTATAGTTGCATACTTAATTTCTATTTAAGATCATGTATTATATCAAGATATATAGCAGATTGCAATGTTTTCAATTTTCCAAAACATGCAACAAACTTAATTGCTTGCACAATTTTCTGGAAAACTTTGAGCAGGAACGGACTTGTCTATCATTCTTTTTGGGGATGTCCAGCACAGCAGTCTTGTTTCTGATAAATTTTCTTTGATTTACCATTAGCTAAGAAGAAAATGATGTTTCCTTGTGTTCTTGAAAGATTTTGTAATTATTTTTACATTGCAAAAGTATCCAGTTTCCTTGTTCTGAAATAATATATATATTTGCAGAATCTTCACTTCAAAAAGAAAACGGTATATGCACTTGGGAAAACTAAGATAACACCCTAAAATCACAGAAATGCTCATTTTGAAATATGAAGATTTTATTATATATTTAAAAAGTACAAGGAAGATGATAAGGTTGATCTCTCTGTCTATCTTCTTTAGCGGCTGCAACAGAACTCTGTCAGTCAATTGCATGCGACCAAGTCGAAAAAAAGATCAATTGCATGCGACCAAGTCGAAAAAAAGGCAAAATGTTAGGTGCCATAGCTTCATTTGGAAAAACTAGTAGTGAGAGAGATAGGAAGAGTACTTGAGGTTAATAAAAGGGCAGATACAGCCATGGCAGCAACGAGAACCAAGAGAAACTTCTGGGATTTAATTTTCTGATTCTCTCTTCCTTGAGAAACAATATTGGATGCATGGTAGGATTGAAGAACAATGGTGTACTTTATATAGATGTAGCGGGGAAGAAACCTTTGTTTCTAATGCATGAATGAATGGGATCCAATTTTCAAACTCATACCAATTATATCTTTCAAGTTTCTATAGATTTTAGTAACAAATCTAGTCTCCCGATGGTTGGTTTGTTTCTTTTTCTTTTATTCTTACAAACAAAACAAAAATCCCACCAAATCAAATACACTTAAGCCATAGATTAAGCTTCTAAGAATCAACAACTTAAATTGAGCTCTGAGCTCTCTCTCCCTCTCTCTCTAACAATTCGTATACATTTAAAGAATTTGAATATATTTAAAGAGTATCGCCGCGCGGCTATACTATTACACTAAATATATTTAAACGGTATAGCCGCGCGGGTATACGATATTAAAATACGGCTATACTATCGAATATTCGAATGTATTCAAACAGTATCGCCGAACGGCTATACTAGTAAATATTCAAATATATTTAAAGAGTAACCGCTCGGCTATACAATTAAAATATTCTCTTATATTGAAAGAGTATAGCCGAGGCTGTACAATTAAAATATTGGAATGCACTCGAAGAGTATAGCCGTGCGGCGATACTATTAAAATATTCCAATATATTTAAAACGTATAGCCGTGTGGCTATAATATTAAACTATTATAACCACAAGGTATAGCCGATCGGCTGTACATTTAAATATTCGAATATATTTAACGTGTATAGCCGCACGCTATAATATTAAACTATTTGAATATATAAAAAGTATAGCCGATCGGCTGTACCATTGAATATTTGAATATATTTAACGGGTATAGCCGCACGGCTATACTATTAAACTAATCGAATATATTAAAATATTCGGATACATTTCAAGATATAGCCGACCGGCTATACCGTTAAATATTCGAATATTTATTTATTTTATTTATTTCGAAAATATTTAAACAGTATTAGCAGCTTTTGTTTATTCCCCAGAATCTTGGGCTGCAAGCTTCTTTCGCAATCCCACCGACTCTTCCCCAACATCACATATATGGGCAGAAGCTTGCCTGTCAGATAAAGTTGCCCCTTCCATGGTGTCTATATAATCCTGCAAAAGGTACAACCATTTAGAATTAACAACACTTAAACAATAAAGCATTCAATTTTCCAAACATGCAGCTAACTTAATTGCTAAACGGCACAATTTTCTGAAACCCTCCTTTGCTTTTTGTTTTTGAGCAGGAACAGAATGATAGGCTTGTGACAAGACCCGCCCCGAATCTCTCGGAAACTAGGACGGACCCCGTCTAAATTCCGACATCACCCTGATGCCGAGCCCACATACTAAAGACTGAGACTTTCTGCCGAAAATTCGGCAGAGTCTCCCCTGTAAAATGAACATTCCCAAACTTCACCCTGTTCAAAATTATAGTTACAAACAACCAACTGGCAGCACGCTTTTAAACGCAGTAAAAATAATTTACAAACAAGGCCTCCAGCCTCACAAATTTAAACCCTCAGCGGGCGATACAGAGCATATCTAAGGAATTCAAAATACAACCGAAGTATCGTTTAACTGAAAGGAAAAAGTACCAAGAGTCTCTACGAAGACTCGAGTTCCAAGATGCACCCGGTCCGGCTCAAACTGCAGAGCTCAGTCATTACTGGCTGGGGGCGCAAAACAGAAAGTTGTGAGTGGACAAAAATCAAGTTCAGTTCAAGTGAAATCAAAGTAGTATAACCCCCACCTTTATTAAAACATGCAATGAAACCATAAGCATAACAAAACCATCAGAAACAGTATATAAACATATACTAATGCATATATATATATACCGGATCTCAAATCCGTAATCCGTGAATAATGCTTCACGAAACCCACCACTCAACTTAAGAGTCCCGAGAGATTAGACTCTCGTAAACGTACTCAAAGGTACGACTGGCGAGGAAGTATCCTTACCGAGAAATAGAACGAAGGAACATTCATATATATATATATACAAATACATACATAATAATATATGATATAACATAATAATAATAATAATAATAATAATAATAATAATAATAGTATATAATATAACCAATATTTAATTGTACCGGGGAAACAATCCAACCGGGGGACTGTTTGACTAGTCCACATGGCAGAACCATTCCTCAATTCACCATGTGTCTAGGGAACGAGCCGCCCAACTGGGGGACAAACTCTCAGCCAGCACGTACAGCCGACACAGTCAGCCAGCACGTAGAACCGGGAAAAGAATATTAAACATGAATAGAGAAAGCTGCAACAAACTCACAAGGCTATCAAATCAATATAGACAGGCTGTTCTCCAGCTTCAAGCCACTCCGCAAGTGAATCTGGGGCTTCATAATTTGAAGCAAGGTCAAGAAAACAAAAAAGACAAGATCAACCTTCGGTCCCCAATCTGCCAAACAAGTAAAACGTAGAGCATATCAGCAAATAATCAGCATACTGTATTCTCATTTGGTCAAGCTGGTCTATTTCTACCACATCAAATCATATTCCTGAGGCTTCTGCAACATTATCAGCGTGGGAGCAAAAATTAAGGCCCAAGTAACAAGCCACTTCCCATGAACCCTAAATTTAGGGAGTGGAGGGAATCAAATAACATGATATCCACTACCATTGAGCATGGAAATAGGTTACTATTAAGCAGAGTAGTTAAGAATACGATCATCCGAAATTATACTAGCAATGTGAGTGGCAATTGGGAAATGTGTGAACTTATTGGGATAGTTTTTGAAGTTCCTTAAGGTGTCAGGTAAATGGATTATAAGACCATGTGGGTATAATTTGAAAGGGATGCGATATTAAATATAATCTGAAAGGATAAAATCTTTTTTTGACATTTAAATTCTTATAGAGCAACCACCAATGTGGTTTATCATAGCAAGATGAACTAGTTTCAATTTTTTATAATTCTTCAATGTCAATCATGTAAGGAGTGTTATGCTCTGCTTTCACTATTTACCACTTATTACATGTTGAACAGGTTGAACTTGCTCGCAAGTTTGAAGGACTGGAGCATTTTAAGAATGATGAACACCCACAGTTTTCGTTGATCCAGGCAGAAAAACAGATGAAGAAAGAATAATTTATTTCCTGGATCTTATTATTAGTATCACACCTTTTATTTATTTTAATACATGCACAAATAGATATTATAACAGTATAGCCGCGCAGCGATACTCTCTAAATACAATATATTAACAGTATAGCCGATCAGCTTTAAATACAATATTTTACCATTATAGCCGCAAGGCTCGACTGAATAAATAGAAATTATAAACGTACAGCCGAACGGCTATACTTTCTAATTACATTCGAATATTTTAGAGTACGGCCGTTCGGCTATACTCTTTCAATATATTCAAACGAACACGAAGCTTGCACTCGCAGCGGACGGAACTTTCTATCGCAGTCACTGCTTCGTCCTCCGGGTTTGGCACCGAAAAAAGACCAACCCTCCTAGGCGCCCGCCAAGCTACTACCTAGCCGCCTGGCCACCGCTTAGCCGCCTAGCCGCCTAGCCACCGCCTAGCCACCGCCTAGCCGCCTAGCGCCCGCCTGGCGACCGCCTAGCCGCCTAGCGCCCTCCTAGCCACTGCCTAGCGCCTAGCGCCTGCCTAGCCACCGCCTAGTCACCGCCTAGTAGCCTAGCGCCAGCCTAGCCACTGCCTAGCTGCCCGCCTAGGCCGACTTTTCGAACACTGCGATTGACTGGAAGTCTGAAACCCGAAAATGAAAAAATTTAGCTGCAAATTTGAGATTGGGAAGCCGAAGCAATGAAGCACAAGTCAGGTCCATAGAAGAGATCCTGAGACTCTTAATTCATCTAATTCCATTCCTCTCCCTGTTTCGCGCCTTATATTCTTCTCTCTTCGCACTGACGACATGGCGCAGAAGAAAAAAATACAAAATTTGCTGACTTGGTGTCTGTCTTCTGTGG